AAAGCACTAATGTAACTTCTTTAATTTAAATATTCATGAAAAAGAAAAGAGGCGCGATTCACCTTGGTTCACCCAATATGGGCCACGTTCAGCCGAGTCAATATTATTATAATATTTCCTCATCTCTCTCTCTCTCTTTCTCGCTTATAATGAATGAATTGCCCTATGATTTATTATCACTCACATAACAAGAGAAAAGTATATTTATCTACTAAGTTTAAGTGACAAAACTTAGTTTATAAGGATTTTTATTCCTAAGCCCAACCTAAGAATGAATTAATAATTTAAAGAAATCCTACAACGGTTATGCATAGAAAATGCCTAAACTGCTGATTGGACAGCAGAACCTCCGAATGCGTCTGTGTAACCCAATAATGCTGAAGTAGTTGACAACTCCAGGAGTAGTGAGCTTGAATTGTCAAAAGAGGAAAAGGGTACTTCTTGCTGGCTCATTCATTTTTACCTTATTACACTATTACTTTACGTGAGAACAAAGCACTAATGTAATTTCTTTAATTTAAATATTCATGAAAAAGAAAAGAGGCGAATTAAATATAATTGTGTAAAGGGAAAACGGAGAGAATAAAGCATTCTTGCATTGCTACGGTGGTGTTAGTCTTGTATGTGTATATATATTGAAAAATTAGATGAACAGAGATAAGGGAGCTATAATTTTCAGCACAAAGACAAATCAGATTCTTTATTTGATCACAACTGGGAAAGAATAATTTATCGTCATTTGGATGTGGAAACACATAATGTTACCTCCAACTTTAGTCTTCATGCCTTCATCCATCTAAATGCCGGGTTAACGTTGACCCATTTTGACATTGAAACCAATTTTATCTCTATGAATTGCTAAGAGTTAATTTAACCCCCCTGATTAATAAAAAGAAAACCCTAAAGTTTTTGAAATGATAAAAACCTTTCCACAAGTGTTAAAATAAATGGTACGATGATAATTTGATAAATATTCATTTAACCCACTTCAAAAATCTCCTGAGATTTTTGTTATTATATTAAACATCATTGGTTATAGTTTTAACTAAACTTTGAATAAAAGAATAATCAATTTTTTTAAAGAGGATTCATCAACCTCTTTGAACACTTGAACATAAGTACTTTTAACAATTTAGCAATGATATGATACAATGAACTGATTTAAATAATTTATCCTTATCTGAGACATATGTAAGTAGTTCAAGTACACATGTAATTAGCTTATTTGGTGTACTAGAAAATTCGTTTAGCTTTATAGTGATCCCTAGAAAGCTTGGTGAAAACTTTTCCAAAATGACTAAGCATGAAAAGTGCTTTCTGGCTGGCTATCCCTTTGCACTGGTGCACAAGTTTCTTTATATTTGTCTTCAACAATACATTTTAGTTTAAGCCTAAATATAACTCTGAAAGTTCTCTATATATTCTTTGAGATCTCTTTTGTTTTCAATCAGGTTTCATATTTTTTGGTAAGTTTACAAATATTGTTGTTAAACTTTGTTTATTTAGGTATGTTTGGAATGTGAGTTTCCATTGATGATGCTTGGTGAGATTTCAAGTTGTTGGAGCCGAAGTACGTTTTCGGTGTTGATCCTTGAGAGGAGCTCAAGGTTGTCCAATAGGTCTCTTGGCCTGAAGCTTGTTGTGGTAGTTCGAAGTTCAACCAAAGGGTGAAGTTTGAAGTGGTGTGAAATCAGGGAGTATTCTTGCAACTGATGCTTAACTTTAACGTTGTAATTGAACTATAAATTTTTATTATAGTGGATTAGCTTCAATTGGATTTAGTCCCATGGATGTAGATAGGTTGCCAAACCATGTAAAAAGTTTATAATAAATTTAGGCCTTTTTGGCTTCTTCTTTTTTTTTTTTTTTTTTTTTTTTTTGTGGGTCCCTTAGGTTGGTTTGGATAAGAAATTATACACTATTTTTATTTTTGTAATATATTCAAAAAAAAATTTATAAAAAATTTAGGCCCTTTATGGCCTTATTTTTTGGGAACCCTAGACACCTACCCATTGGAGATCTCATATCAACTGGACACGCTCAAGCCAACGGGTTTATAAGAGTAGGCAATCCTCCTACTCAATAAAGTCTTTTGGGTGAGGAGTTAGGCCCAACTCCAACAAATGGTATCAGAGTCAGCCCCATTTGAGCTGAGTGATTGATCAGTAGTGGGCTGTCAAACTACCTCCATTCATAGGCAAGTGGACCATATGGGCTTGACTGTGAGAGGGAGTATTGAAGATCCTATATCAACTAGGCACGCTCAAGCCAATAGGTTTATAAGAGTAGACAATCCTTCCACTCAATAAAGCCTCTTATGTTAGGAGTTAGGCCCAACTCCAACACTAGCTACCCCTTGGACCGGCCTGGTGGGAAGAGTAATTCAAAGAACGAAGAAAACGAAGGGAACGAGTATCTACTAAATAAGGTAAGGGAAATTGACAAATCATTATACTTCTTTAACAGAGTCAAGCAGTGTATATTTAAGGGCTAAACCTGTCGCAGTATTGCAGGCTCGTGTGCTACAGTCAGAGGAAATGCTTTTGGACTTAGTGGATACAAATTTGTCTGGTGACTACGACAAACAGCAAGCTGTTAGAATCTTGGATTTGGCCATAAAAGTGCATTAATCTGACACCAACTCTGAGGCCTACAATGTCTGACATTGTGAGTGAACTTGAGCAGATTTCAAATCTCAACACTGCCTCTTCCTCAGCTTGCGTACTTTTTCCATTGCTTTTTATCATCATTTCTCTTTCTTTTCTATGGTTTCTTCTGTTTTCTGATTGTTTTCATTTTACTCAACTGGAGAAGCTTGTTTCTTTTTGTATGGTTTTCTCTGCTTTCTGAGTGTTATCATTTTACTTAATAGAAATCATGTCGAGTGAACAACAAAGCCTGATACCATTTGACTTGCATTATAATTAATCAGGACTGAATTATTATGTAGATGATTGAGTAGCAAAATTCTATTATTATTAAAAACTCTTCAATAATATTTAACTTTAACATGCCTCTTTATGACTAAGGCCATATTTAATTAACAAACGAGAGTTTCTCACAAAGCATGATACTTACCATTGATCCTAAAAGTTATTTTCAGTGATAGATAGTAATAGTTGGTTGTACTATGAAATGGCAGTCACCTATAAATGCCTGAAACTTAGTAGCATCTTATTCGCCCACAAGAGTGGGCTGTGAAGCATCAGTTAACACATTCTATACACATTTAAGGCACGGAGAATGCTCTTCTCTTTCAATCACCAGTTTCTTCAGGTAAAGAGAGAAACCAAAGCAGATAACGTCAGATTCAAGTATCAAGATTTTAAATGGTCAATGGAAATTACTTCTAGATGATCCATCCCATTTTTCTTCTCTTAAATTAAAGCCTTAAACTTGATACAAAAGGGATGTTTGTTTTTCATTCTTTCTGTTATCTTTCTTCATCAAGAGATAAACCGCTCTTTGAACACAAATTCACGTCAACAAGCCGTAACTTAAGAGGATTCCCTTTTTCTCTGTCAAATATTTTCACTGTATTATCAATTAAGGTTCTTTGCTTTCTGCTTAGAGTCTGCCCCTTCCGCCTTTTAATTTTTTATTTTACCGTTCTCAATTCATTGTGAGAAGAAAAGTAATATTCTCATGTTTTTATATTGATTTTTTGTTCACCACGAAATACATTTGTTTGGCATTCTTGCAGAACATTCACAAGGTACATTTGTTTGGCATTCTACTCTGTCTTTAAAAAAAAAAAAAAAAGGAAAAAAAAACTAACTGACAAACAAACATCTCTGTTACCCCTTTGCAAGAAATAAGGTATTTTGGAAGCTCCTGCACACTCTCCATCAGGTTCTTGAAAACTTCAGGTACGTTGAGAATGCCCTTTTAACTACAGCCAAGCTTCTTGTTTTTGTGCGTGAAATAGTACCTAAAAAACAGTTCAAAGTTAGGTAGCTTAAGTCATTCATCTATCTACATGTAGAAGAAATCATATTTGTGATTGACATATACTATGTACTATAGAAATCTGTGAGCAAATATAATCTGGAGTTTCTAAATTTCATGACATTATCACCTGAAATTTTTCTAAGATATTGGAAGAGTAATCATGTGTTGTCAAGTAAAACTCAAATCAAGAAATGATTCAATTCCACTTTAATATGTAGAGTTTCTCTTGATTTCTTGTGGTAATGAAACGATGCATCATATTTATGTATATTTGTTGTCAAAGATGTTGAAACTGCATGTTGCAAAAAATATAGTAAGTGTATTAATCGCTATGTTTTTAACATTTCTATTATCTCTTTGCAAGAAATAAGCTGGTTCGTAAAAGTTTTCGATTTTGGGAAGCTCTCTTGCGTACTCTCCATCAAGTTCTTGCAAACTTCAGGTATGTTGTGAATGCCCTTTTAAATATAGCTAAGCTCCTTGTTTGTGTGACCTGAAAAACTTTTCAAACTTGAGTAATTTAAGCCATTTATCCATCTACATGTAGCACAAATCACATTTGTGGTTGATAGACACTACAGAAATAACATAAATAAACAAAACTTATCAATCATTATCTTAGGCAAACATCCTGATCTTTTAAATCTGAACCAAGATTTTTTATGCGAAGAACTGTTAAATGACAACTATGTAGTTATCTAGGAAACTAGGATAAGAAATTTAATTGAGATTCTGCGTTTGAGTAGTTTTTCTATGCGAGAAAAATTAGTCTAGATTTTAAAATTTTCAAGATTTCTGCAGTCAAATAAAGAAAATAAAATGATTCAGTTGCACTCTATCATGGAGAGTTTCTCTTGATTTCCTATGGTAATCGAATACATATTTCTAGCCAACAAAGTTCAGTGCGCATATCCATTCATAATTTTTTTTTTTTTTTTTTTTTTTTAAATAAAAATATGTAAAAGGATTTCTCTCAGTAAGGTCATCATAGTTAATTTACTGTCACGATTTTGATCATGAATATACAGATAAGATTCAAAAGGGAAGCGATGGCGACAATTAGCATGATTCAAGGCCTGGCAGACAAACTGTTCACTACTTTAATTAATCAAGCTCAAATTGCACTTGATTTTAAAGATCAGTTTGAAATAATGAGGACAAAGCTTGAGCTTATGACGGCCTTCCTCTCCTCCACTGACAATCTCAAGACTCAACATAAGGAAATGGTCCAGACGATTTTGCCTAATATCAGAAATCTTATTTATGAAGCTGACGATATACTCACAGATTGCCTACTTACATATGAGTATCGGAAACACGGGTCAGTTTGCTCGAGTTTATGGCCTCATCAACTCGCATTTCAGTATCGAACAGGCAAAAAATTGAACCATATTAATTCACGGTTTCAAGAGATGGAGAAAACAATGGGCTCGTTTTTGAGACCGGAATTGACAACAAACAGGGGAAATAATGCGCATCAAATGGTAAAGTATTCCTCACAGTATTATGACCCTTCTGAGATCATCGGTTTGGAGGATGACATTGAAAAGATAAAAGGGTGGATGTTAAGAAGTAATAAGGAATTTCACCATGTTGGAATTGTGGGGATGGGGGGTTTGGGAAAAACCACCATTGCCCAGAAAATTTTCAATGATAGAGAAGTGGTTGCTTACTTTGAGAAGATGATTTGGGTGCCAGTTTCTCAGAGTTTCAGCGAAGAACGGATTACGACGATCATGATGAAACAGTTAGGTATGGAAGGAACTGGATTAGATGAAAGTAGTAAGTTGCCCCAAATTCGCCGTATACTTCGTCAGAAGAAGTGTCTTGTTGTTATGGACGATGTCTGGAGAAAGGATCTTGATTGGTGGAAGAATTTTTGTGGTGAAAGCAGTTTCTCTATCATCACATCAAGAAATGAAGATGTCGTAAAGCGTATGGGGGTTGACAACTCGCGGATTCATCGGCCAAGAACTTTGAATGAGAAGGAAAGTTGGTTATTGTTCTGCAAGTTTGCATTTTCCAGGAGCAGGGGACAATGCTCCAATGATCAATTAGAAAGAGTGGGCAGGGACATCTTGGAGAGATGTGGCGGGCTTCCACTGGCAATAAAGACAATAGCAGCCTTACTTGCGCCAAAAGTTGATTCCTTGAAAGAGTGGAAAAAGATTTATCAAGATTTTCATGGATTGACAACCACAGGACAAAATAGTTCTGTTATGGCTTCTCTGCAAATGAGCTATGATGAACTGCCCACTCATCTAAAGCCGTGTCTACTGTGTTTCTCTATTTATCCTGAAGACTTTAAGGTACATGGTGAACAAATAGTGCATTGGTGGGTTGCGGAGGGTATTGTCCAGGGCAAGAACCCATGGACTGCAACCGAATTGGGATATGAATATCTTTCCGAGCTAGCGAATAGATGCCTGCTTGATGTTGTGAATCGAAGAAATTATGATGGGAGAGTCTACAGTTGCAAGGTGCACGATCTGACCCGAGACATGGTAATTAAGATTGCAAACGATGAGGCATTTTGTAGCTTTGATGGACAAGGCAAACAGAAACAGGCAGAAGATTCTCGATGGTTAGGTTTCACCACTGACATGAATCCAAAATTGTTGAAAAACTGTTCAAAGTTGAGGGCATTGTTACTGATGTCAAACCATCATGTTTCCTATGACATGAATTTGAAGTTGCTCAAGTCGCTACGGGTGTTGGATTTCTCTAACAATAAGCTGGATACAATTGAAGTAGAGCGTCTCTGGAGTTGGATCTGTTCCCTTAAACGCCTTGCACATCTGAACTTAAGTGGAGTTCAAAGCCTTAAGGAAGTACCGTATTCAGTTCAAAAGCTTCGTAATCTCCAAATTTTGGTTTTGAGGAAATGCAAGAATTTAGCCAAACTAGATCCATCGGTTACAAATTTGAAGAAATTGATTGTCTTGGATCTAAGTTTCTGTAATCTGAAGTGCCTACCTAATGGACTAGAGAAGCTAGTTCATCTCCAGGAACTGTCAGGATTTCGGGTTGAGAGTCGAGCTAACTCAAGAAGAAGTCAGCTTCGTGAGCTACGGTCCCTGACAGAGCTAAGAGTTCTACGATTGAGTATAAATTTCTTGAGTGAAATGGCAAACGATGAATGGAATGTCTTCTCAAACCTGACAAATCTTAAGGTTTTAGCTATTGATGCAGAAAATTGTAAGAACAAAAGTATACAAAAAATGCTGGATCATCTTTCAGCTCCTCCAAGCCTTGAGCATCTTTTTCTGGAGCATTATCGTCATGAAATTTTGCCGAAATGGATAAATCCCAAGCAACTTCCAAATCTGCAATATCTTTGTCTTGAGGACGGAGACATCAACCACTTACCAATGAGTGTCAATGATGAAACTGAAGATAGTAGCATCTCCAAATGGACCCTGGAGGGTCTCCGTTTAATGTTCCTGCCAAATTTAGTCCTGGACTGGCAGAACTTGGGGAAGGATATGCCTTTTCTACATCATGCAGAGGTGAGCCATTGTTTTAATTTGGAAAACTTTCCCTTTGACCCTGACAAGCTAGCTGTCTGGACGAAGAATCAAGATTGAGAAATCCATAATGGTAAGAAAGATGGAAGCAAATAACTTTTTGTGTTCAAAATAAAAATAGTGCATGTATTGGTGTTAGTTGGTTGAGTTGTGTGGGATTGTGCATGGTTTCAATGTTATTAGATCTGCTTGAGATATGTTCTGTGTTAATATGCTTTGCTTGTTGGATAAATGTGCTGTATATATATATATATTAAGTTGTACAATTTGTATAGACTAGCCGTGCTCTTGTGCCATAAAACTCTCTACAAGATTGGATTTGGTTGTTGATTGAGTTTGTTTATGACTTGAAAATTATTGTAAGGGTGTATCTATTGGAGTTGTATTCTCTCATGGATTAAACATCTTATGTCATGTGTTAATTAAAAATTTTAATAGCTCAATTTGTGAGTGGTTTTTTTCCTTTTTTATGATCTAAGGTGTCTGGACTAGCTTATACACACCTCAGTATAAATAACTAGATTTACTATTTACTATTTCTCCACGTAAATGACTAGAATTTAGGGACAAATTGAGAATTGTCATGTTTTAAAAGCCCTAAATCTGTCTCTCCTACCTCTTTCATCTAATTGAAAGATATGCGTTTATTATTATTTTCAATATAAGATTTTTTTTTTTCCCACTTTGTTTTCTAATCTGTTTTTGAATTTGGTGTAAATGCTTCTCATTATTTCTTAATAAAGATTTTTAAAAAATAATAATGGAAAAACTAAAATGAGAAATAAAAAATAAATCATCTTGTGATAGTTAGTAGTTTTATTCTGAGGAAAGGGAGATAAAAACTGTAAATTTTAAATCTTAACTACTGAATTTTTCAATCGCCATATGCTATTAGATTATTTTAGAGTCAAGTCCTTACGTTGTAACTCTTGTTTGATCAGCCAATACTGTAAAACCAACGTCATTACTCATGAACAAATGTAATTTGATCAAACCACATTTATCGTCGCATCTTTGTAATAATGTAATATTTTTTATATTGCAGTTTAATTTACTGATTAGTCATCGTTATTTATTATATATTATTATTTATTTTTACAGCTGCTCACAGAACACTTAAATCCTTTAACACTTAAGTGATGATGTCATACAATAAATTGATTTAAAAAATCTGCTCAAATAGAGTCTAGATTTGGGAGAATCCCAATGAGGAAGCTCTTGAAGTCTAAACCCTTTTGATTATTTATACGATTATAGCTTATTGGTGAGGACCAAAAAGGAAAAGAGAAAAGCCCCCGCCTAGAAAGCATAGAAGCCTCCCTTCTTTGATAATTACAGTACATATAATTTTTTAATTACCCATGTCGCGAACAAAGCACAATTTAATAAATTAGTTTTTTAGATGTAAAACTCCTAATTCGTGACACATGGCCATCTCAGGGCTAAATGTGGCTCCGCCATTGGTTAACATTTTATATACATGCATTTCTTCATTGTAATAGTTCCCCGTATAGCCTATTACATTCATTTTAATTCTTAAAACAATAATACTATACTTACAAAGAACTCTTACAAAGATTTTCATGCAAAGTAAGATGATAAAAAATGAATAGAAAAATGAAACAAAAAGTCAAACTCATTATACTCACTCACTTTATAGGAAAATCTTCGTAAAATTTATTCGTAAGTGTAACATTATATAAATATTAAGATTTTGTTTAAAAGACAAAAATAACCTTAAAATCATATAGGCTAACCAAATTGTCCTCAATAAAAATTCTGAAAAACAAAAAAGTTAAATGCTAGACTAACATGGTTTAGACTAAACCTTCCCGAAAGCTAAACCAATAAATTAAGAGACAAAAGTACTGGTAAGAAAATTAGTAAATTTGTTTTGGTAAAATGTGTATATTTTCAAAAGTGATTTAGTAAAAAAGTCTTCAACTTTTGCAAGAACAATCCAAGCTTCTCAACCTGTTTGTGGGGAAACGAACTTCTCTTGTCGTATTAATCTATTTTGAATAATTTCCGATTCAGAGTATTATATATATATTTATTTTTATTTCAGGATGGTTAGTAACCTGACGAATAACGGTTTTGAGTTTCCAAAATCAGCCAAGTTTGAAAAAAAAAATATCCGGTAAGTAGTCTAATTCTTGCGTTATACCTAATATATTACTCTTTGTAAGTTCTAGAAAATTTTGAGTTTTTGAGACTTAATTTTGTTGGAAATTAGCTCCTTTGTGAGCTTTTGTAAAAGTTTCACATGGTTTGTAAAACCATATAGAGGCTCACCTTAGTCCTATATATAGGACCCCCCTCCATCCTTCATTAAAATAACCCAAAAATTCTTCTCTGTCTCTTTTATTTGGGAGATTGAAAAATCTTGCCCAAATTGTAGGAGTATCTTTTCTTAAAGATCTCTAATCTATGGGTATTTGCAAATTTTCCCAAAATTGTAATTTTTTGGAGTTTCCTCTTTTTGAAATTAGTGGAAGAGATCAAAGGCGCTCTTTGATGAAGGTAACATTTATACCGAACCTTATTAAATTTCTGATGTTCTTTATTTCTGCATTAGTACTTGTATTTCTTAGTATTCTACTTTATTATATTCCAATAGCATTAGTATGTGGGGTTTGTATATGATGCTATTCATTTATACGGAATAAGTAGTATAGGTGAATAGATCCACTTTGAATAGGGAAAATATACCTGATTTACCCAACAATTGGTATTAGAACCAAAGCTTCAACCTACACATTTGTTTGTATTCCATTTTATTTGCTATTGGAATATAGTAGTTGAAGTAATGACATAATTTGAGTTAAGTACGCTAGTTGTTACTATAACGACATCGCCTGCTTCTTCGTCCATGCCGAGTGCACTAACTAGGACGATGGTGACTAATGTAAAATTCGAGGTGGAGAAGTTTGATGGCAGCAATAACTTTGGAATGTGGCAATGTGAGGTGCCAGACTGAACAAACTGCATTTGAGAGAAGAGAAATTTTATTCAGCTTAAAAGGATTCATTTACAAGCAGAACAGTATATATATATATATATATATATATATAAATATATATATATATATATAGATCTAGAGAGAGACGAGAGGAGAGGGGAGAGAGAGAGAGAGACACACACACACACACACACACACAAGTAACCATAGTTAGTCAACCACAGTTAATTAACCAAAACAACTAACTAACAATTTAACCAATTAACTAAACCACTTAACTAACTAACTGACATATTAATTAGCTAACTAAACTAATTAATTGATTATACTAATAATCCAATATCCCCCCTCAAGTTGGTGGGTGATTAAGGTCAAGCACCCCAACTCGGACAATAAATGATGATGAAGAGTTGAGGGAACAACTTCAGTGTACAAATCAGTTGGCTGAACCTTAGTAGGGACATGAACAGGTTGCACTAGGCCATCCTTAAGCTTGTTACGAACTATATGACAGTTTAGTTCGTTCATGGAAGATAGGGTTGGAAGCAATGTGTAAGGCAGACTTGTTGTCACAACCGAGACGAAAAGGTAGCTGAGGGGAAAAACCAAGGTCCTGAAGAAGTTGAGTAAGCCAAATCAGCTCACAAACAGTAGATGCCATAGCTCGGTACTCAGCTTCAGAAGGGGACTTAGAGACTGTAGCTTGACATTTTGATTTCCAAGATATCAAAGAATGCCCCAAGAAGATGCAAAAGCCAATGACTAATTTACGGCTCATCAAGCAAGATGCCCAACCAAAATCACAAAAAGCTTGGAGATGAAAGGAACCATGAGCAGGAAATAATAACCCTAAGCCTGGAGAACCTTTAACATATCTGACAATGCGTAAGGCATCATTGAGATGAGAGTGTTTAAGCCTATGCATAAACTGGCTAAGCAAGTGGACAGCAAAGGTAATATCTGGACGTGTGAGACATAAGTAGAGTAATTTGCCAACCAATTTCTGATAAATTGTAAGATCATCTAAGGGAAGATCTTGCTGATGTGAAGCTGGTGCTATTGGGAAAGCTTTATCAAAGTCCACAATAGTGAATTTGAATTGTGGATCAATAAGGATAGAAGCTGGTTTGGCAGCAGCTAATCCAAAATCCACAAGTAACTCCAAAGCATACTTTTGTTGGCAAAGACAAATTCCCTTGGAAGAACGAACAAGTTCAAAGCCTAAAAAATACCTGAGAGAACCTAGATCTTTACGCTTAAAGTTAGAATGTAGGAGAGCTTTAGTTTTTGCAATCAACACACTATCACTGCCAATGATGACCAAGTTATCAACATACACAAGAAGGAGTACAATCTGACTGTGATGTTGCTTATAGAAGAATGAATGATCTGCTAGAGATTGATGGAAACCACCATATAGCAAAGCATTGGTGAGCTTAGTGTTCCAGACCCTGGAAGCCTGTTTCAAGCCATACAACGACTTATGGAGTTTGCACACTAAGGACTTATCATGATGATTAGAGAAGCCTTGTGGCACCTGCATGTAAATGTCCTCTTGGAGGTCTCCTTGTAGGAATGCGTTGTCAACATCTAAATGAAATAATGGCCAATTTTTCATAGAAGCAACGGCCAAAACCAGCCTTACAGTCACCATCTTCACCGCTAGAGAAAATGTCTCTTTATAGTCAATTCCAACCTGCTGTGTGAAACCTTTGGCCACCAACCTAGCCTTATATCTCTCTAAAGTGCCATCAGCATGATATTTGAGTTTATAAACCCATTTGCACCTTATTGGAGTCTTTCCCAAAGGCAGATGAACAAGGGACCAAGTACCATTTCTCTCCAAGGCCTAAAGTTCTTGTTGCATGGCTACAACCCAGTTAGGATCCTTGGAAGCTTGAGTAAAAGAGGTAGGCTAAAAAAGAGCTAAAATACTCGACAAACAGGTTTGATATGCTGGTGACAGATTGGCATATGTGAGATAGTTGTGAATAGGGTACTTTAAGTGGCTAATCTGATTAGAGTTGGGTAAGGTAGGGCACACAAAGTTAGTGGTCCAAATGAGATGCCTAGTAGGTCTGCTAGATCTCTAAAATTG